AATTAATTACGTGTAACATTGAAAGCAATTTGTCACAAGATTTGGTTAGAATGATCAACTATTGTTGTGTTTTGATTTGTTCTTGTCATCTTACTCACGTGCATAAATAAACATAATCGCTTCAACCTTGAAGAGCTTTCCTTTATGAAATGGAAGATAGATTAAGACTTTTATACAGATAAAGAAATTAAAAAAAAAATCGGTCCGGTCAAGGTGGTCTAGATAAACAGTTTCACATCTAGAATCGGAAATCGGATCGGTGCCTCTAAGAACCGACTGGAACCGATCAATCCCGGCGATTCCTTCTGCTCACTCATGAACGGCGCAAGTTCAAGGGTATAAGATTGGGACATTGATGTTTTCATAGGAAAAGTTCAGCTTTTTTTGGTGAAATTTAAAAGAGAAAAAAGCACAAGAGAAAAAGGCTTTGTCCCCCACAAGAAACGTCTCTATTAAACTACTACCATGAAAAACGAAACACCACACTTGTGGTGGGCAACCAAAAACGGAGCGTAGTTTTTGGGAGGTGCTTGGATCACTTGAAAAGGCTTTTGTTTCAGCTGGGCCGTCGGATCGAGCGACCCGGTGGGGCCCGACGATGACGTGGACCGCGAAGATTCCCCTTCTCGAGCTTCTGTTTGTCTGATAATAAATTGATTATATTCTGCGCTTCGCTTTTTTTTTCCTCTTTTTTTCTTTTTTTTTTTTTTTGTGGGGAGGTCGCGCGAAAAGCTCAGAAAGAACCGCACTACAACGTAAAAGTTAAAACGACAAATACGAGGAAACAGGGAACGCTATCGTTTTCGAACTAAGAAACACCCCCTCTGACCAAAAAAAACAAAACAAAAAAAAAGAACTAAGAAACACCCCCCCAAAAAATTTGAGTTTTCGAGGAAAACGAAGCCGACACGACACCCCGTTTTCGATTACGATGGCAGTTTTTTTAATATGGACGCACACGTATCGCCTTGTCGTGCGCATGGGACCCACGCGTTGTCAGCTTGTGACGTGGTCCCTCGCACTAACCTCACTTTCTTAAGAGTTGATTTTGATTACGAGCCGCTCCCCATGATTCTTTAGAATAGATTAGTAGTTTTTCGAATTTCGAGGTAAAAAAGTAGAGAGCTGCTTCTGGTGTAAAAAAAAAGAAAAAGAGGTGCTTCTGAAAAGATGTAAGGATTAATCCCGCTAAAAATTACAAACTAGTATCATCACGCATTTATCTTAAACTAATTTGCATCTCATAAAAAATCCCAAATCGGTGCTCCACAAAACATTTATTTCAAACCCAATTTCCATACCACAAAACATTTCGAACGGATTCTTCATAACACATTTACCTCAAATCTACCCACATTGGTGGGGGGCGAGCGGATTTGGAGTCGAGGGTACTGGTTGGAGATTTTTCGCGAGACGGAATCTTATTTTCTAGTAAATGTGTCGTGAGAGCATCGGTCTGGGATTTTCCAACGGTATTGACCCGAAATTATATGGCCGAACTAAACGAAATGGGCATTAACACTCAATGGTCTTTCTTATTGACTCATTGCCTACTCGAGAAGTAAAATAGTGCGAAACGTATAAGCATCACTTGGGTAAAATTTCACTCTTCGAAAGCATCGTGAGGATGCGACGAGAGTAAGCCAAAAAGCTTCGGGGGGGCATGTCGTTGCTTCTGTTCTTTCGTTGTCTCTTTAGAAATGAGATTTGTATATGGGGGTCGGTAGCATGTGTATAAATAACTAGAGATTTTATTAATTTATCAATTAATTAATCTATTTATTTATTTTATGATTTGTAAATTTAATCGGAAAGACTCGGTAGTGGATGCTTGCTTGACTTGACTCGAACTGGATGATAGAGCGATGATAGGTAACTTGACTTGACTTGACTCAATTGAATCATCGAGGACAATTACTAAGTATTGGCATCTTCACTTACGACAATTTGAGATATTTTACCGCACTAGTGATTAATTATTAAGTAGTAACATTTTGCTCTCGAGAATTCTATCGTGAAATTACCATTTTTAAAGGTAATAATTAACTACAAGTACCAACGAGTTACGACCGTTACAATTAAAGAGTGAATTCCCTAAAAAATCCCAAACTTTAGGTCAAGTTTCAAATCTGTCCCAAACTTTTTTTTTTCTTAAAATAAACCCAAAACTTTAAATTTTGTTCCAAATCTGTCCCGAACTTTGTTTTATGTAAGAAAAATCAGCAAATTTCAATTTATTTTCAAAAATATACCCACATGATCCAGTTCCAACTTGACGTGGCACTTCCACGTCGATAACAAATCCACATCAGCAAAGTAATGGGGCGATGGATACAGGCCAACGTTGCATTTCCACTTCGATAACAAATCAAACCCAATAAAAATAAACCATTCTAGGATATGAAAGTTAGGGACGATAACAAATCCACCCAAAAAAACTTTATTTTATTTAAAAAGAAACATAATTTTTAGGTTCAGTCTAAATTTGCTCCGAACTTTTCTTTGCCAAAAAAAAAACCCCATTACTTTGTTAATGTTGATTTGTTATCGACGTGGAAGTGTCTTGTCTAGTTGAGACTGGATCACGGGGTATATTTTTGAAAATAAATTGAATTTTGGTGATTTTTTTTATACAAAACAAAATTTGGGGCATATTTGGAACTGTACTTAAAGTTTGGAGTTTTTTCTAAGATAAAAAAAAATTTGGGGGCAAATTTTGGGACTAGACCTAAAGTTTTGGATTTTTTCTGAGACAAAAAAAATTCGAGGTAAATTTAAGACTTAACCTAAAATTTTGGATTTTTTAAGGAATTAGGCCGTTTTTTATATGCATGTACACGTATCGCCTTGTCGTGCGCATGGGACCCATGCGTTGTCAGCTTATGACGTGGTCCTCGCACTAACCTCACTTTCTTAAGAGCTGATTTTGAATACGAACCGCTCCGATATTTTACATTTTTTTTTTTGGACATTTGATTTCTAACTCACGCTCCCATGATTGATTTGAATAGGTCAGTAATTTTTCAAATTTTGAGGTAAAAAAGTAGAGAGCTGCTTTTGGTGTACAAAAAAAAGGTGCTTCTGGAAAAATGTAAGGGTTAACTCCGTTAAAAATTACAAATTAATACCATCACGCATCTATCTTAAATTAATTTTCGTCTCGTAAAATATCTCAATCAGTGCTCCACAAAGCATTTATTTCAAACCCTATTTCCATCCCACGGAACATTTCAAACCGGTATTTCATAACACATTTACCTCAAATCTATCCGTCATTTATAGTTTCGGATTTGGTGTGACGGGCGCGGTTACTAGTTGGAGATTTTTCGAGAGATAGAATCTTGTTTTTGAGTAAATGTGTCATGACAGCATTGGTCTGAGATTTCCAATGGTATTGACTCGAAGTTCTAAGGCCGAACTAAATGAACGGACGCGCTAACACTCGATGGTCTTTCTTATTGACTCAATGCCTACTCGAGAAGTATAATAGTGCGAAACGTATAAGCATCACTTGGGTAAAATTTCACTCTTCGAAAGCATTGTGAGGATGCGACGAGAGTAAGCCAAAAAGCTTTGGGGGGCATGTCGTTGCTTCTGTTGTTTCATTGTCTCTTTACAAATGAGATTTGTATATGGGGGTCGGTAGCATGTATAAATAACTAGAGATTTTATTAATTTATCAATTAATTAATCTGTTTATTTATTTTATGATTTGTAATTTAATCGGAAAGACTCGGTAGTGCTCTCGACGTTTGGCAGCATCAAAAGGACGATGACGGTTGACTTACGTACTGGCGTGAATCGAGCCAATCGAGGATCCCTGTATTCGAACCAAGATATTTATTTGAAAAAATAATCAGTATATTTATTAGGGTATCGTTCATGAGTGATAGAATATTTAAATAAAACGAGAACAAAAAGTTTGATTACACGTTTCGACAGAATATTAAATATATATATTCTTATTTAATTTAATTGCTTAATTGGTGTGATAGGATGCACAATATCCTAATGAAATGTTGTTAAAGGACATAAACCTAGGAACTACTATTTACCGCCTGTGTCTGCTGGGTAACGGAAGAGAAAAAAAATGGGTGGTACTTTTTGTTTCGATCTGGGCAATTTCCAAGGGTACATGGATTGTCGGGGCCAATGCCAATTTTTTTTTTATAAATTTCTTATTAAGTGCCATGGATTTTTCTTTTCGAGTTTGTACCTCTAACAATTATGATTGGGATCGCGCATAACATTCATAATGGCTCGGATGGCATTACCTATAATGTACCCCACACCGTTCGTTTGTGGAGTTTATATGATATTTATTGATGCGTTTGTTTGAGTAAAAGAGATTTTCAGAAATTAGTTTGCCAGACTTTTACGTGTTTGGTTTGTTGCAGTTGAAAATTATTTACTGTCAAAGAAAATATCAGTGCCTAAAGTTGGGGGAAATGAATCACCTAATCTGAAAAATGGGATGATATTTTTCTATAAAGTGAATTCCAAGAGAACATTTTCCTTTTCATCATGAAATTTTCTCCGAAACAAACAAATCCTTTACACACGTATAGTTTCTCTCCATCTCTTGGTTTAAACTTTTGGGATCGGATTCTTTCAACATTGCATCAAAGCCAAAATCTCCCTCAAATTATCTCGCGTGCACACCCCCGGTCCGTCAAATTCCACACGCCGTTCCTAATTCAACTCTTCGGACTTTCAAACGCCGCCGGCATGAGCTCGGTTGAATGGCCCAGAACAAAACGCACAACACTCGAGATAAAACCAAAAAAATTCAGGTTAAAATAAAAGCTCAACAAAAACCATATATACCATAAAAAGAGAATGCATGAACATTCCACACACCATAAAGTAAGGGCTTGATTTAGCACATAATCCCACATCAAATCAAGAGAGATTAATGAGTCATATGCCCTCTCTCTCAAGTGCGCAATAATGTTCCTGCCATACATATGGTCACCCTCTTCCTCCTCCTTCATAGCCCCCCAAAACCATTAATTTAATGCCTGTCCTTCCTCAATTCCTCATATAAACCAACCCCCTCCGCCTCAAACCTGCCCAATCCCATCCTCCTCCTGCCCCACCACCTACACACACACACACACCCTCTTCTTGTCCTAAAGAGAGAGAGAGAGGTCCCAAGGTGTGGAGTTTGTGACAGACCCACCTCTCCAGAAGGTGTAATTCCACAGAGGGAGAGGGGGGAGGATGGATGTGAGGAAGATAGTGGTGGTGGTGGAGGAGGCGGAGGCGGCCAGGACGGCGCTCGAGTGGGCCCTCCGCAACCTGCTCCGCTGCGGCGATGTGATCACCCTCCTCCACGTCTACTCCGCCGCCGCCGCCGCCGCTGCCCCCGCCAAGTCCAGGAGCAGGAAGAAGCTGCGGCTCCTCCGCCTCCGGGGGTACCAGCTGGCCCTCTCCTTCAGGGACATCTGCAGCAGCTTCCCCAACGTAAGCTCCCCTCGTTGACTTCGGTCCTTCCCCCCCGCCGACGTTTGCAGAGAAATGGGGGGTGATTCTTTTGTGCCTTTGTTGTTTGCAGACCAACATAGAGATCGTGGTGGCGGAGGGCGATCAGGAGGGCGCCAAGATCGCGTCCATGGTGAGGGAGATGGGCGCTTCGGCCCTCGTCGTCGGGCTCCACGATCAGAGCTTCCTCTACAAGTAAGCCCCTCCCTCGTTCTTGCTCTGTCCCCGAAACAGAGCTCGTCGTCTGCAGAAATCTGAGCCTGCGCTTGATGGGTTTTCTAGCTACATTCGATTTGATTACCCTGCAAATCACGAAGCTCCATTCTTGTGCGGCGAATTGAGAGAGAAAGAGAGGGAGAGGGTCCAAGAAACGTCAACCTACCGGCGACGAACGTCCAGTTGAATTATCAAATTCGACCACCTACTCTTCGTCTTTTCCTCTGGGTTTTTCCGTGGCTGCATGCTTGACTTGACTCGAACTGGATGATAGAGCAATGATAGCAGGGCGCAAACACTTTGTTGACCATGTGTTTGTGTGCGCATTCGTACATTCATTTCGTTCTATTTTCCCCCCCTAAAGCTTCTATCATTTTAGGTTCCATTCTTTCGAGGTTCTTTGCACTCATGGTAAGATTTTATCATAATTGCAAAAGTTGAATTTTTTTAATTTCGATAGAAAAGCAATAAATGATTTTCTTTCGCTTAATAAAAGAGGGGCACGTAAAAAGCCTTCCACGAATGAGTGGGCCAATGTCGGACCGCGAAAACGAGATAAGACAAGGTACAACGAAAAAAGCTCGGATTACAAGACGACACGACCCGTTGATTTTATACATTCGTACTTTATCGACAGGTTTTTATTGATTGTCAGATATCAATTACTCGGCTTATAGAATGAAAATGACTGTTTTAATGCATCATCCCCACAAAACTATGGAAATCGCCAGATCCTACTGCTCCGTTTGTCTCTTAAAAAAATCAAAAATTTGAAAGATATTTTCTTAACTTTAATCGTTGTTATCGCTTACATAAATGAACAAATGAAAAAAATATATTTTCATCGTCCTCTAGACACAAATCGTTTCTGATAACAAAAATATTTTTTATTACATAATTATTTCAAGTGATACAAGTTATCAATTTTAGGAAAATATTTGTCAAATCATTTATTTTTTGCGAAACAAAATAATATTGCTCTAGAATGGTTTTGACTGAGGCTAAGGGACTTGGATCATGGAAGACGGCCTGATCGAAACTGATCAGGACTCACGTGTTATGTTCATGGTGGCAATCAAAGCCAGGCCAAGGCATTGTGTATTGGGTTCCACCACCATAAAGGTTTTGTCAAGTGGGGTTTTGGCGAATTTCCATCTGAACTCACGTGTTATGTTATGTATATTAGCACTGTTTGTCCATCATATTACTATCGATCGGCTCGTCCGAGAACCGGAGAAGAGCCGATCAATTCGATTCTTGTTCGCGGGATAAAGAAAACCGCATCGAGATCGGAGCCGTGATGACTTCCTAATTCGATCGATCATGAGTCATACAGTTGGTCTCGGCAATTACTCGAGGAGAAAAAAAAAAGGGTGAAATGTCGCCGTGTTATGCATCGAAAAGGCGATGAAGAGTCGCTGTAATTACAAAGCTCTTTTATTGCAATTAGGTGGCCTGCTAATTATGGAAACTGGGTTTGGTGAAGCATCATGCAGAATCCCAGTACCTGCAAAAGGCGAATGCATTGATTTTTCTTTAGGGTGTTTCAACTGCTCAAAAAACTTGAAACCAGACATTCTTGTTTTGGGCATGTGTTGCAGGTTGGCCATGACCAACGACACCATCGCAAGCAGCTTCAATTGCAGAGTTCTAGCAATCAGGCAACCACCTCCTTCCCCATTCAGTAGCACCAAGACTCGTGCGATTACAACGGACGCTTCGTCGATCAACTTGGACTTTTCCCAGGTCGATATGGCCCCGCTGGAGTAAGATTTCGTCCCTTAAAAGTTCTTGACTTACAATGAGCAGAAAAAGAATCCTGCTCTTTAGGACTTCTTCTCAGATGAGCTTCTAACCAATGCATTTGCTCAAATGGACATATTGCAGCCTACCCGATATACATCCGCCTAAAATCCCTTACCGGATATGCCCGAATCCCTCGGCCATCATCTGGAGATCGAGGAAACCCAGGAGAAGACGAGGCGGTTCTTCAAGATGACCCCATCAAAGCTGGTTGAACCCATTTACACACAGATCTCTCTCTCTTTTTTTCTTTCGTTTTTTTTCCTTATTCATTGGAGAGTTGGGATGGACTGGGATATAGTTCTGGTCCATGGTATGATCCTCCTCTCAACTCACTCTCACAGATGACACAATACCCTCAGATTATAGAAGACTGAAAATAGATGAAAATTTGACACTAAACCCTGCTGTTTTGAGTTCAACAAGAACAAGCTTTTCGATCGATGAGCTCATCTCACTTTCCTTCTTTCTCTGTACATAGCCATTTAGACTCTTCTAATCTGTCTCACAGTTCATCTTCATGGTTCATAGCTTGAGGGTCGGTACTCTGACATTTGCTAAGCAACTGACCTCTCTGTTTCGCGACCGACTCCTGAAGTGTGCACCGGTAAAATGGTGTAATCGCATGGCAAGCAGCGAACGCTTACATTAACCTGCATGCACATACGTCGGAATGTGCTAAACAACGAATATACACGTCAGTGAAAGCATTGCCGTTCGACGATGCCTTGGAGAAAGTTGAGTTTTGTTAGATTCTGCTATCGGATAGAGAGTTCAATCCTGTTCTCTCTCAAAGGCAAGAATAACGGGAAGGATGTCATGACCAAATGAGAGTCTTCTCAAACTCTTGGCCAAGAAAGAAGAACAACTCTTGTAAACTCTTGCCTGTTGGCTTAATGATTCAAGAAAGACGGATTTACGCGCACGATACACGCTCGATTCCCCGGTCGTGTGAAGTATGAATACATTGTGTTCGGGATTTGCTTGTGTTACAGCTTTCCTCCTTTTGATCCATGAGTTTAATGTATCATTTACTAAGTATGCGAAATTTAGTGTAATGCAGTTCTTTGTAAAATTGAGTAGTAATGACATCGCAAGAACATGAATTTCCGTACCTATTACAACCGAGTACTTAAAATTTTTGTTTGCTCGATCAAGTAAATCGGCTTTCAAATGTGGGTCAACATGAAAACTCTGTTAAAATCGCAGATGCAAAATACTAACATGGATATTAACGCAATAAATAGTCATTGACTATCTACATTGGCATCCGATTTGACTACTCAAGATGATACCCCATCAGTATAGACCTGTTGCATGGCTAAAATCATCCAAGTCGGCACTTTCTTTCTCACTTTCGTTTAGGTAAGTGACCCGCATCACTAAGGGTGTGCATGGCACCGATTTTGTGCCCGAAAATTGATTCTGCTCAGAAATGATTCTTTTTAATTCTGTGCCCGAGAACTGTTCTGAGCATTTGAAGGCGTTTGGTAACGGTTCAAAATTTCCATTCCTATAATAGAAAAAGAACAGAAATGTGTTTGGTAACGGCATAAAATTTCTTTTTATAAATAATATTTTTAATTATTTTAATATTTCTTTCTTTCTTTCTTTTTTCTTTTTTTCTTCTCCTCCTTCTCGGCCATGGCCGGCGACCGGCCACAGGCCAGGGCTAGCGAGGGCTGGACGCTCATCGGCCTTTTCCAACCCTCGCCCGAGCCGGCGAGGGCCACCCTCGAGGCTCGCCGCCCGGGCCACCCTCGAGGCTCGCGGCCCGGGCGAGGGCCGCCCTCGCCGGATATGGCAAGAGCTGGATTTTCGCCGCCACCCTCGCCCAGGCCGCAAGCCTCGAGGGCGACCCTTGCCGGCTTGGGCAAGGGTTGGAAAAGACAGGCAAGGGCCACGCCGGCCCTCGCCTGTGTCGCCGGTGGCCGAAGAATGAAGAAGAAGAAGAACGGGAAAGAAGAAGAAGAAAAAAAATAATTTCTTTTCCAATTCTAATTCTTGTTCCCAGAATTTAGAAGTTACTTTTTTTTGCTTATTGATTCTGTTCGAAAACTGGTTCTGAGAACAATATTTTACAAATTTGTGCCCGGAAACAAAAAGTTTACCAAACGGATTTATGTTCCAAAACTGATTATTGGAACAAAAGAACATAAATTTTCACTATTTGACAATCTTTACCAAAATTTTTTTTTTCACTATTTGACAAGTTGTCAAACGGGCCCTAATTATGCTCGAATTTTGCTGAGTAAGCCAATCATGTCGGGCAAAATCATAGTACATGGAATTTTTATTTTTTATTTCGATGGAGGCCTCGCATTGAGCAAATTTGAAAAGTCGAGGTACTTAATTAAATGAGACAAAAATTTAGATAGCCGATTGTAAGACGGATAAAAGTTCGGATACTTATGCCATCGTTACCCTAAATTGATGTATCGCGACATTTTATTGCCACATAAATCTTACAACGAATACGAGAACAAGAAAAATTGCCATTGTTAGGAACAAGCAAATGATATAAGCAATTGAAATCGATGAAATGAGTATTGAATCCTGAACATCTTTCGGTAGCTTTCTTTGCTCGGTAATCCGTGCAAAATGTACTCCGCAGGACTCTCGATCAAAATTTCATACATCCGGCGATTGGAATCCGGGTATCTCCAGCCTCTTAAAAGTAAAGAAACAGAAAAAGGAGAAAAAAAAAAAAGAAAAAAGGCGCGAAGAGACAAATTGAGCAAAAATGATTTTCCTATAGGCAAAAACAAAAAATGGAAATAAAAAAAAAATCCAAAAAATGGCCTCGACCGTTTTATTTGAATTTGTTAAAATCGGAGTTGAAAAGAGCTGAGTGGAGCTGAAGCTCAGAGCCAAGCGCACGAGCTGGGCCTTGGGTGGAAGGGGCTCACCAGCAAAACTGAAAACGAAGCAAAGCCACACTCGACTCGACTCGACTCAGCTCAGCTCCCAGTCCCACAAACCCTTATCCCCCCCGCGCTCCGAGTCAACTCAGCCGCCGATCAATTCCTCTCTCTCACATCTTATTATTGGTTTTCCTCCTCGTCTTCTCCTCCTTCCTCCCTCGTAGTTCACGGCTTCACTCGGCGTCGCAGCGGCACTCCAACTCAACTTCAACCTCAACTCAACTCAACTCGACCGAAGCCGCCGCCGCCGCCGCCATCGACGTCGAGCGCACCGCCGCGAGAACCACCCCCGCCGCCGCCCGCCAAGATCGCCGCGGCTCCCTCGAGCTGATCCCTCTCTCTCTTCGCGGCTTCGATTCGGCTCGGTCGTTCTCAGCTTCAATCTCCCCCGTCCTTCCTTCCTTCCTTCCTTTCCCTCCCTCCTGTTTTCCCTCCGCTCTGCAAATTTTCCCGGAAAATCGAAAGCCCCCCCGATCCCTCGAACCCCTATCTCTCCTGAAGCTTGGCGGATTGGGGTCTCTCCTGAACCTATCTCTTCCGCTTCCTTGCTCGCGTGAACATCGCCCCGCTCCTGGAGTTAGTGAGTGAGTGAGTGAGTGAGTGAGAGTCAGTCGCCATGGACGGGGGAGCGCTCTCGGTTGCGTCAGTCGAGGTGACTGCGCTCCGGCGGGATCGCGAATCGAAGCCCTAATTTTCACCCTTCCGATTTCGCTCTTGACTGTTCTTGTTTTTGGCATTCGTTGCGCCGGGCTATGAGCTGGGCTGTCGCCGGCGCTCCTCCCCTACGGTTCGGTTTCGCGTGAATTTCTCGGTAAGGGGCTCCTGCTGCACCCTCGTCCTTGGGTCTTCTGCACGACCGGAAATGTTCTTGCTGTAAAGTTTAGAGCTTGTTTTGCGGAGTGAGTTTCAAGAGCGATGCTGGTTCAAGAAACGTGTTGCCCAATTGACCGCTTCGGTTTTTCTTTTTCTCTTTATGTGTTGATTCTGAAATTGCGCTGCAACTCTTGTAGACAGGAGCTCTTGGTGGGAAGACGACGGCGAATCCAATGGACTGGAATGTCAATAATGCGTACAAGACTTACAAAGGTAAAGATCTCTGGGCAGTGTTCCGGCGGTGGTTGTTCTTTCGTGCGCTTATGGTGGTGGTCTAGTTTGACTTTGATGCGTGCCGTCTCTGACTCAATCTTTCGAAACCCAGACTTTAAAATCTCGGGTGCCTTTTTGGGTTTGCGTGTAGACCCGAAAAGTTTCGGAGCGGACAAATTACAATTTGATCTTGTGCATTTTAGATACCGCTTTGCGTGAGTACGGATCGTGGTTTCCCTGTGCTTTTATGTGGGAGCATGACTTCCCCTTGAAGTTTTCACAGTGCTCGATAGCTCGGCGCAATGTCCGTGTCGTGATATTCATTTTCGTTGGTATCAAAATTTCACCACTTATGTCCCCAAAGACTGAATCACTATCGGTGGACTTGTCGACCGCATTCTAAGTCGGAGCAATGGACTCGAATTTTGCTTGCATTATGAGGGACCTGATGAGGGTGTTTTTGGCTCAATGACATGTCAATGGCCACGCAGAAAAATTTTTGCGGAAGGTCTTTGTCTATTACTTTATGCAGTTCACGGCACTTCTACATCGAAGATCCATCTTCTTTACCTAAGTCCCTTTCCTCCTTCTTGTTTCTGCTGAAGCAATTTAAATCATTTTGGTCCTATCCTCCTACCTGTGATTCTTTGAACTCAAATAATTTTGGACGATGAATTTTTCTGTTCCGGAAAGGCATCACTTTTGTTTTTGACTAGGTTTATGATTTTCTTATTCTTGTTTCCTGGAATAGATATGGAACCGAAATCCGTGATGGACATAGCACTTCTGCCGACGATTGATCCAATAGATATTGGGCTGGGTTCTTCAGAAAAGGGAAATGCTATTTCTTCAGCGAAACCGAGAAAGAAGACAATGACATCGGTCTATCTCAAGTACTTTGAGACTGCTGCTGATGGGAAAAGTAGAAGTTGCAAATTCTGCAGGCAGAACTACTCCATTGCGACAGCCACTGGTAGTTCCTGTATTTCAAATTCTTCTCTATAATTGGCTGATAGTGATGCAGCAAAATCACGTAGTTTAGGGCTCTAATGTGTGATGTTTAAAGCCATCATTTCCTTATTCCTCTTTAGCATCATCAAGACAGTTTCTTGCTAACATGTGGTCCATTTTATTGAGGGAACATGATCAAGCTATTCTCCAGTTATCTGTGTGGTGTAGACATTGATTTTAGTCGCTTCTTTTTATGTGACAAGCACAGCAATAGTAGAGGCCATAATATAGTGGCGTATTAGTCAAACTATCTCAACCATCTATCCTTTTATTGGTGAAGGAAATTTGGGGAGGCATCTTAGTAATCGCCATCCGGGTTATGACAAGGCAGGGGATGGTCTCATTAATTCAGCCTCTCAGCCAGTAGTCACTATTGCTAAAAAACCTTTGCCCCAAGGGAAAACATCCATGCAGGTGGATTATGATCACTTAAACTGGTTGATCATCAAGTGGCTCATTCTAACTTCTCTACCTCCCTCAACCTTGGAAGAGAAGTGGCTTGTAAATTCCTACAAATTCTTAAACCCCTCCATACATCTCTGGCCTGGAGACAAGTACAAAGTGGTACTTCGCGAAGTTTTTAGGAGCATGCAGGAAGATGTTAAGGGGGCTTTGGAGCAGGTTTCTTCTAAGATTTCAATCACCCTCGACTTCTGGACTTCTTATCAAAAAATCCTCTATATGAGTGTCACTAGCCAGTGGATTGATGAGACTTGGTCCTTCCAGAGGATGCTTCTTGATATTTGTCACGTACCTCATCCTTGTGGGAGCACTGAGATCTACCACTCCCTGGCGAAGGTTCTCCAAAAGTACGAGATCGAAGGAAGAGCCCTCTCCTGCACCCACGATAACAGTCCAAATGCCTTGCATGCTTGTCATACACTGACAGAAGACTTGGATGGTAGGAAAATGGGGCCCTTCTGTTATATTCCCTGTGCTGCTCGTACTTTGAACTCGATCATTGATGACGGATTGAAAACGACCAAGCCGATACTATTCAAGGTCCGGGAGTTTGTTCTCGAGCTGAACGCTTCTCCGGACATCTCAGACGATTTCATTCAACTGACTGCTGCTTATCAAGAAGGAAGTTGGAAATTGCCACTCGATGCATCACCACGCTGGAGTGGCAGTTACCAGATGCTTGATATGGTCCGCAAGGTACTATTCCGTGATTTCCTGTGCAGTGTGAGAAAAATGTGAAAGGGGCTGTTAACGTATAATCCAATGAGTATGGATTGCAACAATATCAGGCCTTGGTCTTGCCTATGATTGCTTTTAGGCACATGGCAATGTCTATCCTTGTCTGTCTAGGCATCTAAACACTAAACCATAGTTGAAGATGGAAGCATTGGATAGAAGTACAGCTGAAAAAAGAAAATTTTGCCCATAAGATGGACCCCTTTCATTGCTAGAGTAAAAATCGCATTATATTTTCGTCTTTTTGAACAATTACCATCACTCAGCATCATTAGAGAAGGTATATTTCTCTCTGGTTAACAAAATGGAACAATCAGATAGAGCTCATCACGTTTCTCTCTGGCTTATATTAGTTTAGGAATTTGGCAAAATTGTGCAGTGAGGTCACATTACGGTCCAAATTTCTTTTCATCCTATTTTTCTCCTGCAAAAGTCCTGTATTCACATTGTCTTCTTTTTGCCGGTGCTTGCAAAACACAGGCTAGTAAGGCTATGGATGCTGTAATCAGAAAGTACGACGAAACTCTAGGTGGTAAAGTGCTGCTGAGCTCCGCGGAGAAGAATGCTGTGAGCGTCGTCCATGCTTATCTCGAGCCTTTCTACAAGACCACGAACAACATATGCACGAACAAAGTCCCCACTGTCGGGCTGGTTCTCTTCTTCATGGAGCACATATCTGAGATGATCACCTCCTGCCGAGAGTCGCGGCACAACCCAGACTGGCTAAAGAGCATGGCAGAGGAGATGGCGAAGAAGTCGAGGAGTTACAGCGGCCAAGTCTGCAACATCTTCACTTACATGACGGCGATTCTGGATCCCCGAATCAAGAGCGAACTAATTCCCGAGAGTCTCAACTTGGATAATTATCTAGAAGAAGCAAGAGCCTACTTCATGAGAAATTACTCAGCTAGCCATTTCGCGTCTCTGGCTAGCACATATGGTCCTCACGAAGTTGAAGACGGAGGAAGCGTTTCTTTTGCGGAGGAAATCGCTCGAAAGAAACGGAGGGCGAGCATGAACGCCACGACCGATGAGCTCACTCAGTATCTATCGGAACCTCCCGCGCCATTATCAACCGATGTCTTGGAATGGTGGAAGGTCAATAGTACACGGTATCCCCGTCTCTGTCTCATGGCCCGCGATTTCTTGGCCGTCCAGGCGACCTCGGTTTCGGCTGAAGATATATTCTGCGGTAAGGGCGACGAGATAGATAGGCAGAGGTATACGATGCCGCACGATAGTACCCAGGCTCTACTGTGTATAAGGTCATGGTCTCAGTGTGGGATCAAGTTGAAGTACAAGTCGACCGAAATAGATTATGAGAGGTTGATGGAGATGGCCGCCGCCGCCGCAGAAAACAGCGGCCCCAGTATCGACAAGAAACCCAAATGATCACAAGTAACGCAACAATGTAGGAGAGAGAATACTTAAGATAATGCCCGAAAACGCGTTCCTGAAAGTGACATGATACTTTCGCATCCTTAAGCAGGGAAAACCCTTAATCTAACTTTTTTTCCCCCTTTAACTTAGGTCTCTGTTGTATCAAAGGAGAAAATGGTGTACTCATACGAAGGAGAACTACCGATTGATGTAAAGTGTTGATGTTATGTGAATGCTAACCCCCAAGGAATACTGAATATTTCTCGTGCTCCTGATGGTACAAGCTCTGCTTTTACCCGAATCGCTTATTATTCAAAGCGCGCATCCTGTGTTTATTGTTCAAAGCGCGTATCCTGTGAAACGCTCGCCGCCCCGTCTCAAGTTCATTTGCCAAATGGGAGAGCTAAAGAGTAAACGACACCATCTCTTTAAGACCACCAAGATTTACTCATCGAGTTCATAACCAAGTAACCGAAACAGAATTCGACAATGTATTCCCTGCAAGTTCCACTCACCTTACCATAAATAAATAATGATATCAAAAATCGACCAACCGATGGATCTTTGACAAGCTTAACAAAATCATCAGTATTTACAAAGAATGGACTAATTAATTACAAGACATTATCGTTACTTCCAATATATAAGCACAAGTAAAATATGTGCAGCTCAGCTTTTACCAAACAAAGAAAAGATGAGCTAGAAAGGGAACATCATTTAGAAACTAAGAGCTACAACGAAAAACTAGAGTCAGCAAAACATGCCACGCTTATTTCTGTTGGTGCACGGCTTGAGTGTCCAAACGGAAGCAAGAGATCTCCCCATTAGCCAGCCTATCGGGCGCCAAAATTGTGGAATTACTGCTCCAATGACAAGTCTATATCCATAACTGCTCCCTCCGATATTCTCGGACAATCACAGGCACGCTTGTTGGAGGAATCTGCGACCATAAAGATAATGTAAACAGAGAAACTTTCCATAGCACCGTAACTATGAGCTGGGGATTATGATTTGGATAGCATCATTGAAAGATTCTACTACGATTTGAATTTGAACAGTTCAAGGACTACATACAACTTACCATGCCATAATCTGTGACAATCATGGACACATATTCTGAAGGAGTAGCATCATACCTATTTGAGCATCACATCAAAAAGCCAAAAATCAAATCAACCTATAACGGATGACGTCATTAGACTTCCTCATTCCAAAAACACTGAAAGCTTACATGAGATTCAGCGATTGAAGATTTTCCTTATTCCGCAAGTTACCCAAATAATTCACGTCCATTCTTCCAGGAACCTCTAAAACAGCATCCGGATCACCTGAAAGCAACTCAAGAGTATTCACAAGGTGATATTATGAGGAAATTATAGGAGGGTAAAACAATCATAAAAGAGGCCAAAACGTACCCAATTCATTGAAGCAAATTGAATCCAGCTGCACTCTTTCGTGAAATTTATATGCTTCGCAGCATATTATAACGGGAACACGGAAAGCATTAGCAACCATTGCCACACTTGCAGTTCCAACCCTCGAATATACAGTACCATTAGACAATACAGAGGAAGCCCCCAAGAAAACTCCAGTCACTTCATGCATTATATAAGAAACTGCATTTATATGTGTATATGTACAACTCAGCCCTTTGGCTATCAGCCTACGTAGTAATGATTGGCCCTCGAGTTTGGGGCGCGAATCAATTACCACTACACGGAACTGTTTCCCAATTTCATGGGCGTACAACAAAATCATCTCAACAACACATGATGCACCATATGTAAGAAGAACATCCCCATCTCTGATCTTAGTCGTGGCGTGTCTGACTATTACCTGGTCAGCCACTATAATCTTCTCATTTATAAAGCGATCTATATCGGAGCAAAGGGAAGCCTTCGCTTCTGATTCAGAAATAGATAATGGTAACTTGGCAATTCGATTCTTTATGAATCTAATTGCATTTCCCATGCTGATTGAAAGTGGTCTGCACTCAGTAAAAAACGAAACATAGCTGCTAATTTTTGCTGTCAAATCTCTGTTGAGACTTTTTTCAGGTGGCGTTACATAGTCTTTGATGGCCTCTTGAAAAGCTTGCAGCATTGAAATACAACGAGCATTGCCCCCTGAAATATCTCCTGCTAAATACTGTAACCCAACCTGTAAATTACATGAACAAGACTTAGCAGGACATTGGGCATTCACTTGTTTCTGTAGATAACTACTCAGTACAACTTTGTTGCATAGAGGTCACATCAAAATAGAACCAAGTGGTGACATCCATTTTAAACAAGAGGACATAATCACCTCTTAAGACACATAGGTCCCCAATATTGGTGCTTAGGAGTTGCATAGCAGAACTGATTTTCATTACATGCTGCACATCTCGTCTAACAATATTAAGGGTTTTGCTGAGATCTCGACGATATACCAAGATCCACCTCCAAGAAGTTCAGGAAATACAAAAAGCACTGTGTTCTTAGAAGTAGTACCTTGTAAACAGCAGGATGCATAGGCTCGAGTTGAAAAAACTTTGACTCGAGATCAGGAAGCTGTGTTCCCTGTTCATATTGAGGCAAATGTCTAAACAATTCAACTCTATTTCTAGCTTCGGTTTGATTGACAACAGCTCTCCTTTTAGCCTTTTCCACCCGACTCTTGTCATCAAATTGCATGCGTGGAGCAGGGGCATCTTTCTTCCTGTCCTTCTCCGGTGCACGGTCACTTCCTTTCTTCTCAGAAGCTGCTACAGAGAGTGCAGCTGAAGCAGCATCTTTCTTTTGTGTGGGCTGCTTTGATGCCCTAACAGAAGCGACTCCGCCAGATGCAGCAGCAGTGGGCTTATTTCCCTCACCTGCAACAAAGAATTTCGTTTGAAATGAATAGGCTGCTTATAAGTTATCACCAACGATAAATTGTAGCCAGGAAGCAAGACTGATGCTTGGAGCTTCGAACTTGAGTAGATGTTATACTCTTTCTATTTCTCCTTACAACTCAAAAGGCCTTTTTCCATTGAGGAGAAGCATACCAAGTGTCTTCAAAATTGTTAAAAAAGATAAAAGCAGCCTTAACCTGAAAGATGCCTCCTAATAGATTATGCTCCAGCTCAAAATCAGATCTGAGCAGTATTCCCATGCATGTTATGGGTGCATTATGCATTAATCACGCAAAGCTAACCAATGTGAAAACTTGATTCCAAGTGGTCCAAAATAAAGAGGAGTTTGACATCTGCAATTCTAATGGTCCACAAAGTAAAGGTCATAGAAATAACCTTTTGCAGCAGCTTTTGCAGCTCGCTGAGACTCCTGCAAGGCACGCCTTTCAGATTTTGTAGTTTTCGCCTTCAGCGACTTTGAACTAGGGATTGCTTCATTTTTCACTTCCAGAGCACTCCCCTCACTCTTCTCTGCAAAAAGCCATGAATAAACAGAGGTGCATCAGAGATGAAGATTAGCGATATATAAATGGGCAGAGACACCTTGGAAGGTCTTTTTACATCACAACAAGTCGATATCATTTGTATATAATTATTTTCCCAATTCCCCCAGCTAACTGCATAGTTCTAAAACATGACCTCCAGACCAACCTGCCTCCCACATCACTTCCCATGACACCATACCAACTCGGCACCCAACAGATCAAATGGAATTGGAATCTGCAGAAACTAGCATACGTTATGGCATCACGCTGCCGCATCGCCGATGACCCATCAGGGACCAAAGAATTGGTAAACGAGCCAAAGATAGAAGCACGCGACAGACAAACTGGACTTGTCCTTACTGCTTATAAAGCTCATTCAAACGCTGACATGCACGAATTTGCAAATGTTGTCGGCAAAAAGCAATCTTCTCGCACAGAACCATCCTCAACAAGCTATTGATTCAAGGACACAAATATTAAAGACAAGATAACGCATCAACTGGAAGACAGGAAACCAAAACTCACCGGTCGTCTTCTTCGCATTCACATCGGATGCAACAGCCTTCTTCGCATTCGCATTGGACGCGAGATCAGCGGCGGAGACCGCATTCACGGCGGTCAAATCGAAGCCCCCGCCGGGGAAGCTCGACGCGAACTTGGCCGAGTTGCTCCGCCGCAGCCACGACTCCTCCGAGAACTCCCCGTCGCCGATCAGCCTCCCGCTCGACGGCGGCGACGGGGCCGGCGACGAGGTGCCGAGGAGGGACTCCGCCGGGTCGTAGCTCCCGACGACCGGCGAGTGGCCCGCGCGCCGGCGCGCCGGCTCCGGCACGGGAACGGCCGGCGTGCGGAAGGCGGGGAGGTTGTCGGAGAGGTGCCGGGGCGGCGGGATCATGACCGGGGAGAGGGAGTTGCCGGCGGGGGAGTTGGAGAGCGGGGGCGAGGAGCTGGGCTCCGCCGGGTAGGACTGGGACCGGGCGGGCGGCTCCGGCGGGGCGTTGCGGGGCACGAAGCCGACCTGCCGGACCTTGGGCTTGATGGCGGCGGCGTGGGAGATCCGCCGCGGGTCCATCGCCGGAATCACCCTCTGGCCGGCGTACGGACGATCGGTGCGGGCGAGAGAGGGAGAGGGAGAATTGGGGACCAAGGAGGGAGATAGAAAATAGGGTTTTGAAGAGTTCAGAGACGTGAATTGACCTATGATCTTTTGCGGGTCAAACATAATCATATACCATATAGATTATTCAAATTGAGGAATATTGTTTACTATAAATAACGAACCTTTCCGTGCATAAAAACGCTACAGTAATTTTAGATATATGTGACCAAAAAAAAAATTTAGATATACCGAGATTAGACCAGTTGAACGGATCGGGTATGGGTCGGGTCGAAATTAGTTCGATCTAAATTGATCCATTTAACCCGTTTTGACTCATTAATAGGTACCGATTATTCCACCAAGGAGCAGGGTACGTACATGATATAGTGGCCGGACTCGAACTAAGTATTGGCAACTTTGACTCTAGTAAAGTCCCTTGGCTTCAATGCAACCAAGTCGTAACATTCTCATAAAAGGAAACCTCTTGTAAGATTTGCCGATTTCCACGGAATACGCTGCTCATATCCACATTATAACTGGTTTCCTGGTTATATTCAACACAAATCTAATGATTCATGCCCGACCCAACAATACACAATGCATACCCGATCCGACCCATACCCAACAATACCCAACGCATATTCGACCCAACCCATATTGCTAAAACACTTCTATATAAAAACTTATACACAAATTAATATGTGAGCACGAAATAGGGTGAGAGAGAGAAAGAGTTATAGAGATGGATTGAGTCTAAGTAAGTTGTGACCAATTTAACACTCATATTATTTTAAGCCTTACCATTCCAAACTCATCTTTGATCTATTTAATAAATATAATTAATCCATATAACAACTCAGTTCATCAAATATGGATTAAAAAATTGGTTTATATCCCATTTTGACAGATTTAATATAAATTAACTTATAAAATCAGCTTAAAATTACTGTACAATTCGTAGCGCTCAGTAAGAATTTATTAGATTATTTATGTTCCATTTGTTTTGCTTAAAATGAATAATATGAAAAATATTTTCCTTAAAATGATTATCGATATTTTCATCGTTCACAAAAGTGTATAAATATAGATTGTTATCGATAATGAAAACATTTTTTATCAACTAATCATGTCAAGCAATACAAGCATTGTTCGGAAAATGCTTTCCCGATCATTCATTTGCCGTGAAACAAAGAGAGCCTTAATAAATCGATAGTATTGACCGATCTTATACCAAATACACTCCGAAAGCCTTATTATAACATATATTCTGGCACGAGAAGTGTGACACCGGAACTTATGGTGTAACTCAAACCGCCTCTCGGGCCCTGGCCACCTTGTTCACGACTTGAGGATCGACCTTAGTCATCGGCGCGTCGCCCGCTATGGCCCGTCGATTCGACGTGCAAGACTTGTAACTACCATTCTTGGCAGTTGATTTCCCATCATCTGCACAAAAATCTAGTGGGGCTCAGCAGCAAAAGATCTTCTAGGATTGAAGCAAGGGAGGGACAAAAAGCATGAGAACGAAGTATATCTCGAGCTTGTGTGGATGTTATGTGTTTCTTTTCCGTGCCCTGGTCCTTCGACAACAAGTTGTTCCAAAAAGCATTTTGACCGCTGGTGGGTGATGAGATTTGTCTGCATCAGCTACACAGCAGATCGAATCAAAGAACGGTAGTGTCATTTTGATGGTGAAACTACGGATTGGAGCTGAATTCAGAGGTTTCCAAGGCCCTGCTGGAGGCGAAAAGCTGTTGGGCTGTACCAGTGGAACCATTACATGATAATCAGAGCAAGCTTGCTGATTCTCGCTACTGTTGCAGCTCTTGCAGTTTCTAGTAATGGCGTCGTCAAGGCTTCGAGGAGGAAACGAAAACCACATCTCGAATCATCAGGTCATTCCCTTTTTTCTGTTAAAGATTTCCTTCCCGAGTTAATCCGGAATTTGGCAAAGATGGTTTCATTTGATTCTAAATGATGGTGCTACTGCTTGCATGGTTTCAGGAGACGAAGATGCGAACCGGCAAAGTGGCCATGCTGAGGAAAAGGAGGAAATCGAGACTGCAGATGCGAGCAGGCAACGGGCGATTGCCCGGCAGGACAAGAATCCGAATGGTGTCGAAGAAGCCGAACAGATGAAGCATCTGCTTAACGACCTGAGAAGAAGAGAAATAGCAGTTGAGAATAAGCTGTTGGAGCTCTATGGGCTGAGAGAACAACATTCCTTCGTCACACATTTGAAGAGGCAATTAAGGGTCAGATCATCCGAGGTCGACATGCTGAAGGCTGCCGTTAGCACGCTCGAGGCCGAGAAAAACGACCTTGAAAAGGAGATTAGAGAGAGCTTTCTGGCGGAGAAGCAGCTAGAGACAGCGGAGAAGATGGTGAAGCAGTGGCAGGAAAAGACGAACGCCGGCGAAATCCAAATGAAGGCGCAACTAAACATGATTGAAGAGCAAGTCTACGGCTATCACAGTAAAGAAAAGGTATCTCGAGAGCCCGTGTTCGAGAGGAAGACGAAGACTATGGACAATGTGAAGCTGGAGGTCTTGGGGATGAATCGGAGGAACAAGGAGCTCGAGCTCGAAAAGAGGGAGCTAGCGCTCAAGTTGAACTCTGCTCAGGCGAAAACCACTTCCCTCTCCACCATGACAGAGGTATGGGAAAGCTTGTCATTTCTATGCTGTCTTCGAACCGGCTCCTTCTATCCGAAAGACAGCAAAACATACGTGTATTTTCTCAGGTCTGTTAGTTTTAAGGAAACATCCAAGCAACATGTTTCTGATTGATGATAATACATGATGTGTGTCAACCATGACTTGTGTTTTATGAACTCTGTTGGGATTTTAAGCCGGACATTCGTCGATTTTTATCTTTTGTGTCCGACATCATTCTCGGTGTAATTTCGGGTTTCTGCTGTGTCGTCTCGCAGAGCGAAGTGATTGCCGGGGTCAAAGAGGAGGTGAATGCCCTGAAACATGTGAACAAAGGGCTCTTGAAGCAGATAGAGACGCTACAGAAGCAGAGATTCAGCAGGGTGGAAGAGCTGGTGTACCAAAAGTGGCTCAACAGTTGCTTGAGATTCGAAATCCAAGATTACCGAACCCCGCCCCGTACTCCCAAATCCACCAGTCGCGCCACATCTGACAGCGCCGATTCTTCTCCGACCTCCACGGAGAGCCGCGAAATCGATGATACAAGCTCAACCCTTGAAAGCACTGCAGGTAGCCAAAGCAGCATAAGCAAAAGCGAGAGATCTAGCCTGATCACTAAGATAAAGAGGTGGAACAAGAGTAAGAGGGACATTATAGTGGTGGATCCATCACCAGAGATGTCTCCTGGCAAGAGTTTTTGGGGAAAGACGGGATTAATCCGCGGATTTTCGATGTCGATGGTCACCGAGGGACTTTCGAAATCGAGGACCAGTAGTTATTGGAATTACAGTATTGACGCTTCTAGGAAGAAGAGCAAGAAGGATCTCGCAGAGTCCCCGAGCCCGGAGATTCGCTCCTGCCTGAGGAGAGTATCTTTCAATGACTCTGTTAGCGTTAGGAATCTAGAACCGGCGTTCGAAGATACATTAGCACCTGTCGAAATGGAACCATGTAGCCACAAAACACATGACAGGAGGTCGAGTCGGATGCTTACTACAGAATCGAGGGACAATGCAGTAAAGGTTACGGCAAAAGAACAGGTGCAAAAGCATCAGGATGTGACCGCATCGGAGGCGACCGGTTCAAGTCATCAGAGCGCGAATGAATTAGAAAAAAACGAGACAAACAAGCAAGTGGTCAGCAAGATCAGGCCAGCTCGATCACCGGATGCGCAACACGGGCAGATGAACCAGATCGAAGCTAGCTCGCCTTGCCATGTTTCTGCCTTCATCATCTTCATCTTCATACTGCTACTCATACCAAGATTTTGCTCTTGGTTGTATTTCGATTGACAGCGCATTGAACTGATCATGACAATGAAAATTTCTAGCCATTATGTTGCAATATGAGCTGATTATAGTTTAATAATAACCATCTGTGTGGAATTACTTTTACTTTTTATTTTTTTACTTAAGCTAAATTTTATAGCTCACATATTTTTGTAAATGCACATATGAATTATACATAATTTTTTGAAATTTGAATAATCCTTTAAATTTTGATGGGAAAAAAGCACTTGTTGCTTTTATTTTTAAGTCCAAATAAACACTTAATTCCATTTATTAAAAAAAGAGAAAAAAAAAAACACTACCCAAGCGTTCCATATACATGGTTTGGGCCCTATTGGGCCTTCTAGTATCGCTCCGTCCAAAACGGGATCCGAAATGGGCCGCTTTGAACTGAGCCACGGCCCACGGGCCATGCGCTTGTTTATAATCCAAACCGCGCTTCTTCACGACGTCGTTTCATGTTGCGCGAATATTTTCCATCTTGCTCCCGGCGATCCGATTGCTGCCGCGGGTTTCGGAGGGAATTGAGGTTCTCGACAGAAGCGTCCCGTTGTCCCATCTGCTGTGCATTGCCCTTCTTGGTTGCTCTCGCTCCATAATTCCAATATGGTACTCTCTCTCTCTCTCTCTCTAAACGCCTTCGATCCTCTTCGCAATTGTCCGAATTAGATACTTGATTTATCGTATCTGATATGAGATTATGTTCTCGCAAAAGACGGAACGATGGATAATTAGCATTGAGATGTGGATTTTCTTTTTTTTGCGTGAATTGAGATGTGGATTGAGCTGCTCGATTTATCTCTAATTTACTTATCCAACAAGTTTAATCGCGATCGACTCTTAAAAGTCCGTGCAATGCGAATCTTTTTGCATAGGGTAGGGATTGGAATGTTTTCTCTTTGTCGCAAAATAAGGCACGAAAAACTCTACAAGGGCGATGTTGTTGCATTGACGGTTTTATTCTACTTTTTGTACACCATGCAATATAGCTCTTCTTTCTGAGGGAAAATTTCAAATAAGGACATGAAATGTCATTATTTTCTCAAATAAGAGCTTGAAGTTGATCTTTTGTCAAATAAGGGCTGAAGTGACCGTCAATCTCAAATAAGAGTCTGAAGTGATTATAACAGTTTCAAATAAGGGCCTGACCTCGCCGATCGTTGACCGGCTAAATATTCCAACCAGTCAAGGCATTTTCATCCAAAGATAATTTTAATTTTAAATTATTTTTTCTTTTTCTCATTTCTATTTTCTTCTTTTCAGACCCTCGCCAGATCTAGACAAGGCAACCCTCACCTATGGCTTTCGAGAGCGGCCTCGCCCAGGTGAGACATTCCCTTGCCTACAGCTTGTGAGGGCAATCCTCGCTCAACCCTCTTCGAGCATCGCCAGTGACCACCCATCAATTAAGATCGATTATTGACGAAGAAGAAAGAAAAAACCATAAAAAAGAAAAAAGAAAAAAAAGGGTAAATGACGAAAATGCCATTAACTAGCCAGAAAATCAGGCTCTCCTTTAAAACTCACATAACCATCTCATGTCTTTATTCGAAACAAAAGTCACTTCAACCCCTTTTTTTGAGAAAATGAGGGCAACCGAGCCTTTATTTGGAATTCTCCCTCTTTCTCATGATGTCCAAGTTGCGCTCGAGTAATTTGTCCAAACTTCTAAATCTTTGGTCTACACGAAATAATGACAAGCTCGACAAAATACTTAGATAAATTAATTATCTAATTACAGGAAAATTCTCGAAGTCATCAAAATTAATTGTACGATTAATAAGTACCTCTCTTTTTATGGCTAATCATCACTTACCCTCCAACTAGTACTTTAGGCAAATTTAATTGCAGATTAATAATAATTCATCATGCATGAATAACAAACAATCTTCTATAATCCCCTCAATTAAATTTGTGGTCAAAAAAAGGTAAAGTTCCCACGTTACAGGCGGGCATCAGCATCGCCCCCCTACGTGCTCCACGGTTCCCACACGTGTCAACTCGCATGCCTCCGCCGCGGAGCACCTTCTTCACACGTGTCAGCCCGCGTCCGCCACAGTCGCCTAACACTTAGAAAAAAAAAAAAAAAAAAAAAGCACTCTGTTTCCCCTGCCTCTTCTCTCCGCTCCCCTGCTCTCATCTCCTTCTTTGAAGCCAAGCTCTCCCGATCCTCAACAATGGCCGACCTCCAGGTAGTACCTCCCAGGCCCTCCGCCGCTCACGGCGCTTCCGTCTTCCACAAGCTGCACGAGCACGCGCCGGGCGGCTCGGCCCACCTCCTCGGGTTCCTCGCCCTCGTCGTCGCCGACGCCGTGTTGCTCCTCCTGATCGGCCTCACCATCACCGCCGCCGTCGTGGGCCTGATCCTCCTGGCGCCGCTGGTCATCGTCTCGAGCCCCGTGTGGGTCCCGATCGCCGCCGTCCTGTTCGTGGCGGTCGCCGCCGTGCTGTCCGCGTGCGGGTTCGGGGTCATCGCGCTGGCCGGCGTGTCGTGGCTGTACAAGTACTTCACGGGGTCCGACCTGTCGGGCGTGGGTCGGGGAGCCAATGCCAGGACTGGTCATGTCAAGGACTATGCCGGGGAGGCTTTTGCAAAGTAAAGGTCGAAAGGTGAGCCATTTGGGGGGGTGTTCCTATAGTCATTTGCTTTTGCTTCTCGTCATCTTAATCTCGTCGTGCGCGCGCACACACGGTTCCTGGGGCTGCTTTCTCTTTCGCTGCTGTTCAAGAGTTTCTTTCTGCCCGCGGCTGTGTTTGCGCCTGTGGAAAATGGAGAAACGCGGAGGACATGCAGACAAAGGACATCACATCGACCTGTCCTTGTTCTTGTAAGAAAAAAACAGCAAGTGTGTTTGACAATTGAGAATGTGAACAGAGTAGTCTTTTTTGTTCCGTCTGATGCCTACTCCTTCTCCTGTGTCCCGGAGTGGGACTCCGACCACCTTTTGTTGACTCTGCTCCAACGGGCTTCGTCGAGTCAACTCCAAAAAAGTCGAAGTCAACCGACGAGCAGGGGCCATGTAGGGGCCAAGGATCAACATTAAAGAACAGGCCTCTTTCTTGAACTTTGACTTGAATCCTGAGGTTTCCTGTGGTCAGACATAGTGTCGGCGAGTGCCCACGAGCCCTCTTAGTTTTACCGCTCTAGAAGCTGAAAAGCTGGTCTTCTTGTGGGAGTCGCGGAACGTTGAAGCGTTTTGCGACCGCTGTTTACTCGCTGTTCGAGCTTGAACGAACGATTTCCATGGCGATTACGTGAAACGCACGCGTGGCTCGGCAGGAAGAAAAGAAATCGCCGAGAATGTTTCTGGGTCGTTGTCGTTTTTGACGAGGCGAGGGTAGAAGAATGCAAAACTGGGTCGTTCTTAATTTTGGCGTGCAAATTTTGAAGTCTCTGATGATATATCCACGTGTTCTCTCGTTCTGCAGATCAATTGCTTGCTTAAGACTTGCCATTTTTACTAATTGAATGTAGAATCGGCAGCGGTCAAATTGGTAGGTCAAGTCGAAAATGCACCCGTCCAAATTAATCCATTTAGCTCGTTTTTTTATTTATTTTTATACAATACAAATCTAGTGACATGTATCATATCCAATCCATACACCAATCCATACACCAAATTTATATCCGATCCGACACATATTGCTAAATTACTTCCATATTTAATTTAATTTTAAAAAATTCATATCAAAACTCAATTGCGAAATTGAGTGACAGCGAGAGAAAGACGTACATGTGAGTGTGAGTTGGGTCTAAATAAATTATGAATTTATTTAATATTCGCGTTATTTTGGGCTTTTATAATTTTAAATTTATTTACGATTCATTTATTGAATATAATTAATTTGTATAATAAGTCAAATCTATCGAATAATGGTCCATAAGCCTTTATTGTTCTTCGGCCGAGATCGTCCATGGTGCGGCATCCGTTGGATCGCGGAAGGAAGATGTGGACCTTTGAAAATATAACAGGTCAAAAGTCACTCGAACCGTTCACATGAATCATCATCGTTGATCTTCTCTCGTGCAATCTGAACCGTTTGTTTGGTGGGGGCGGCCACGTCACCGATTTTTTTTTTTAAAATTGTTGATTTGTTTTACGAAACACGAAATCACTCATGCATATAAAACATTATCATCACTTGTTAGGAGGTAACCAACATTATAAAGCTATCATCAATTGTTAAAAGTTGCAAATGCATTTGGGAATCATCATATGTTATCGAAAAATTATTGCTTTCCTACTATAATCTACTATGGCATTTCAAAAATTACCATCTCGTTAGAAATTACAGACGCCTTTGAAAAATTGCCGTCATTAATGGCAGGATTAAATTTGAATGTAAACCCGAGATGCCTCAACTTTGTTGGGACATCTAACAAAATAGTTGGCAATTTGTGTTCTTTGTATCATGATCGTGTTTGCAATTCGTATCTCTACTCGTGTCAGCATCAAATGTCGTAATTAATAAAACTTACAATGAAAAACGTATCAATTTGAGTCAACATATAGGAATCGTTTCTATAAGGGTATCTCTAGTTATTCGACCTTAACACGACACGAATCTTCTTTGTAATTCGTTAACAAAAAAAATACCGAAAAAGTCATAAACCTATTGCAACTAGATCAATTTAGTTCTAAACCTTTCAATTGAACCAAATTGATCATAAACATTTCAATTTGATCAATTTCCGATATAAATTTACCGGATGAACTCAATTGGCAAAACGTGAAAAGGATTTAGAACTAAATTAGTCCAATTGAAAAATTCATGATTGAATTGCTATCAATACAATAAGTTTATAACTTTTCTTTATATTTCGTGAACAGAAGGACCGTCTCGAGATATCCAGCCTTAACACGACACGAACCGTCGCAGGTGAACGACTACTGAATAGTGTATTATTGTGGGTATAGAACCAAGTGATGCACGCTAAAAAGCCTACAATCCTGACGATACACGACTATTTCAATCTTGGCGGCGCCTGGAATCAGTCTCGTCAGACCTTCATCTGTCTCTCTCTCGCATCTGGGCGAATAAAAAACAAACAAAAGGCCGAGCAACTTCTGTCGTCTTTTCCTCTGCCAATCAGAAGCAAAGTTCCTTTCTGAACCCTCTCGAGCTTTCGACGATGCAGTAAAGATCAGACGGTTTAACCCGTTGAAATGATAGGTGAATTCTAGTTCACGACAGAGATTAAAACTTACAACATTTGGTGAAGGGACGGCCCCAAAAAACATCATGGAACGAAAACCAATTCCTGTCTGAAACGTTTTTGTACAGACAAATTCCTCAGAACCTCTCGTCTAATCACAGGGGCAAAACACAGACGACCACGCTCCAAACACAAAAACGAAGAAGAAGAAGTTACACTGGAACACAGCCCTTGACAGGGGATCACATGCTGATATGGTGCTGCTGTAGAGTTTTCTTCTGGGTTACTTCCCTAGCCCGCCGAAGTCGAATTTGCTGACCCGGCCCTCCTCCGGGCGGGCGCGGGCGAGGTACCCGGGCAAGGGGCTGGCGCGGGGCGACCGGAGGGGCAGCTGGTCGACCTTCTTCCCGCTCTCGTCGTAGTAGATCACCCCGGAGAAGTCCAGCGGCTGGCACTTGTCCCCCATCAGGATGCTCCGCTGCCACACCCCGCCGTCCCCGAAGCCGAACTCCTCGGAGTCCGCCTCGGAGTCCTCCCCGTGGGCCGAGCCCTTCCTGGTCCTGTGCACGAACGCGATCGCCTTGTTGCTTATGCTCGAGAGGAGCTTCTTCGGGCGCATCAGCGGCGAGCTCGGCACCGCCGCCGCCGCCGGCGATGATGATCTCGGCGTGAACTTGCACCGGTCGCGCTTGTGGGGCACGAGCTTCTTCGAGACTTCGCCGGCCTTCTTCGCCCACGACGACACGAGGGCCGGGACGGAGACGGCGAGGCCGAGGGCGGGCCGCCTGTGATGGGAGGCGCCGGAGTCCGTCTCCGGCGGCGGCACCGCCTCCTGGGCTTGAACCATTTCCGGGACCGGAGGATACGACGATCGAAGCTAGGAAATGGTGTGGACGTGACTTTGTGTGTGTGCCTTGGAAAAGCTTAGTACAGGTTTCGAACGAAGGAGTGTTATATACAGGTGAGGTAAAAGAGAGGGGTGCAGGTGACCGGTGATAGCCGGTGGCTTTCGTTTGACTACGTCTTCTCGTGGGATTTTCTCGACTAATTTGTAGAGATTTCGTGGATAATTTAATTGCAGAAAAATAGAATAATTACAAGGCTGGAAAAAAAAATGAGATGAATTTGATTTTCCAAAATCCCTAGTGCTTGGGGCAATTAGTTAATGCCCGAACGCATACCGAACAACGCTATGGAAAAACGACACGACCATAAGCTGCGGTTTTTCTCAGTGCGTGTTGACTCCGAACCTGATGAAGAGTTCTAAAATCTTGGTCCCAACTGCCTACTTCAAGTGTACTTTTGCATTAAAATTCCTTCATAAGAACGGTTTGAAAAGCGATCATTTTTAAAAAAATATTTTTCAAATCGATCATTTTTTGTCAAATAAATAGAGCTTTGCTGTGAGATTATGTAGGACTACTGTCGGCTGTTATGAAAATTTAGGTTGTTAGATGAAGGGACGAGTTAATAATTAATTATTTTGAAGCTTAGAGAGTTCAATATAAAGGTTTAGTAGACAAGCGATGCGGAATGCTAGAACGCTGCACCTCACATGCAAGTCGAATTTGGAACGGCCCGTGAAATTTGACTGGTAGGGGGCCGTATAAGCGGAACGAACTTAGGGTAGAATTGGCTCTTTTACCTCGTCAGTCCGTAGGCTAACAATTAGGCCATTCCTTGCATTAATTACGACTCTTCGATTAATCATCACGACTAAAAACGTTCCCAATCGAAAATAATAAATAAATAAAAATATAATAATTCTCTTGGAGCTAGGGGTGAGCAAAAGAAACCGCCCGGACTGAACTGGACTGGCCAAGTCTAGGTGGTTCCCAGTTCCATAAAATTAGAACCGGTGAATTTCGATCTAGTTCCACTCGAACCGGATAGATTTTTATTTTATTTTTTTTATTTCTTAAAAATCTGTAGAAAAAACTGTAATCTATATATCATTTCACAAAGGAAAGTCCTTTAAGACTGGAGCAACTATGCTATGCACGTGAGCAAGATGACACGAACGAATCAAAATACAATAATAGTCGCTCATTCCAATCAAATTCTACCACAAATCGAAAAATTCTCTGTGAAACCTACTATGCTACTCATATCTCATTGATTGTAGAAACGCATCAATTAAATTTCATCTTATATATCAACAATAACTAAATAAATAAACAAACTAAATATGACACCGGTTTCATTGGCCCACCCGATTACCGGACCGGATCGGTCGGTCCGGTTCTTGATTTCTGGGCGGGACCGAAATGCTGGTCTCGCCCGGAAACCGATCTTCCCTGCTTACAGCACTTACTAAGGTTCAGAAAAGTAAAAATTTGGGAAGTGGGAGTCTTTCATTCTTATTTTTTGGTTCAGTAATTTACCTGCAACGTGTGCATTTTCCCTTCAAGGTTTGTCTCAATAAATGTTCTAACTGTCTTTCTATACCTTGATCAGTGCTTTCAGAATGGTCACTTAAGTCAGAAGCCAATGGAAAATTTCAGTGCCACTTCGATCACACTAAGGATTAAACGTTAAAATATAAGGTGGGAGTCGGCGTGGTAGCCCACTTTAATATTGCCAAGTTAGACTCCACGTGTCAGAGTCTGATTGGATAGGCGAAGTTCAAGAGCACACGGCAGTGAAGCACCAGATAAATAGTGGAATTCCACGCGCTATCGCACTACTGAGGGGAGAATTGCATTTTGTGCCCGAGACTTTTGAGATCGTGGCAACTTGCCCCTTGACTTTTCGTATTCTTGCAATTTTACCCCGGCCTTTTGAAGCAGGTGGCAATTTGCCCCATGGTATTGGCTCCAGCCAAATTTTTTCTCGCATATATGATCACGTGACTGCACACGATCAGTTATAGAAGGCAAAATGGTCACATATCATCTGCACGTAAGAGAAAAAAAAAAAAAGATATGGATTACACAATTTTTTTAAGATTGTGGCAAATTGCCCCCTGAATTATTTATTTTTGCAATTTGACCCCCGGCTTTTTGAAGTTGGTGGCAATGTGCCCCCCAAGTATTGACCTCCGGCCAAATTTTTCTCACATATATAACGATGTGACTCCACATGATTAGATACAAAAGGCAAAACGATCACACATCCTCTGTATGTGAGAAAAAAAAAAAAGACACAACATCGATTGTACAAATATATAGATCGAAACTATATATCCATGTGCATTTGGTGTTGACTCCGGTCAATTCTCCTTGGGATTTTAGTCACACGACTTCATGTGCGATCTCTTCATGAATCATTCTTCTATTTTTTTATACGTATATACATATATGACGAATTTGCCATCCATAATCAATCACTGCTTTCACGTGGTCGGAGTCAACGCCGGGAGACACGTTGCGACCGATTTCTAAAGCTCGAGGGGAGCAAATTGCAGAAATCGAAATGCCGGGAGACAATTTTCGAATAACCCTAAAAACCTGGGGGGGCATTGTATAATTTGACCCAGCACTGAGGTTGGCGATATTTAGGCACGAACTTGGAGGGGAGTGGTGGTCGAGTCAACGGAGAGGATGGATGAGGTCGACATCACAAGTCAACCTCGAAGCATTTGCCTTTCCTTCCAGGTAGTGGGCATGCGTGGGTGCGTTCCGATCGTTTCTTGCATCTTTTAATGTTTGAGGACCAAAATTTGCCCAACTTCCCAAGCTCCACAATTTGTGTGCTGCTCGTTTCAAATGGGTCCACTACTCCACGACCAAGTCTTTGCCCCTTGGAATCATCAATAACTAGAGAAAATTTCTTTCAAATCGAGGTAATAAAAATGTATGAAGTAGGAAAAATAGGCTGCGGTTATGTGCCGACGTGGTTCTCATTCTGTTGAGGATCAGAAAACTCTATGATTTATCACGATGATCGCATCATATGACTTTATTATTACCCGAAAAAATAACGATTCTTGAGGCTCGTCAAGATGGTCTTGTCTTACCCGAAAGCCCTCGGTACGTCCTTTTTGCATCCCGAATAAAAGCGGCTAAGGCAACTTACTATGATTAACTTGATTCAAATTTCAAGTCAAATCCCAATTCTATCCAGAAATTTATTTTTTTGGTCTAAAAGAAACCCTTAGCTTTCACTCTAGTCCCAATCCGCCTGCGCATTCAAATTAACTTGATTCAAATTTCAAGTCAAATCCCAATTCTATCTGGAACTTTATTTTTTGTCTAAACGAAACCCTTAGCTTTCACTCTAGTCCCAATCCGCCTGTGCATTCAAAATTTGCCACAAGTTTTTTCAAAATTATCAACATTAAGGCCAGTTAGAAGTTCATTATCAGAACCCGCGTCTTCATCAACAACATCACATTCATATGAAAAAAAAAAAAGCAATCTTCCAATGTTGGTGATCTTAAAGAAACCGGTGGCACATTTTGAACGGATGGACAGATTTAGGATTAGTGTGAAAATTGGGGAATATTTTTAGATAAAAAAAGAAGTTCGAGAGGGAATTGAGATTGGACCCAAAGTTGGGGTTTTTTTAGGGAATTAGCGCAACTTAACAATGTTATTTTTTTCTAAGTAAATTCTCTTTAAATTATAGTGCATAGAATATAAAATGGTATGGTACTTGGTCTAGCGAAGTAAAACAAGAAAGAAAAGAAAAGAAGCTAATTGCTCTTTAGTCTTGTTTATAGATAAGAAGCTAATTTTTCTTGTTCTCACAAGGTTAAAATAATTTATGATTAGGTAATAATACATATGATTAACTTGACTGATGACCTGGTCTCATGCCAAGTTCTATTCATGATTAATAACTTAATTAGTAATTTCATGATTAGGTTCAATATGATGGGGCTACTACATCTTATATTAGGAGGTGGAGTGGCCCATTTGTTAATTTTGGCATTAGTTTAAACATCATTTGATTGTCAATATGACATGGTTAAAGGATGATTAGGATAAGATTTTCCCTTCGCATTGGTCAGTAGCGTCGCCTGCCCTTTTTTGGCCTCCGCGTTATCAATTTGACTATCAATGGATCTGTCAAAACTATTTTACAAAGATCGATTTACAAATTAATGTTGAGAAACTTATGATCGATTTATTTAAGTGCGCTTTTGAAATTTGTCAAATTACTTTGCATAATAATCTTTATACGCGTAGAATAATTACTATATTCAATTTTCGCAGGATAACCGTTAAATTATTGGTCAAGGGCGATAAGAAAACAAAAACTTCCTTAAGAGGTCCAAGATTAACGCAATTGGTTGGCGGTGTCCGAGGATTTTCAGATTTAGGAACTAGAGGTCGCCTATTCAGTTCACACAAATTGCGTGCAAACTGTATCGAGCCGAAGCAACCCACACAAGTCAAAGGTCCGGACTTACTCGATTCGGGGGACTTGAATGTTTTTTCGCAAGTCTCCAAATTGCCGGGTCTAAATGCCAATACCCCCGAAGTAAAAAGAAAAGAAAAGAAAAAACCAAATCTCCTCTCTCTTAGGAAGCTGTGGGAGCCAGCTAGTTTTCCCAAAAATTTTCCAAGTACATAATTATTCTAATGAAGGTAATCAGCAGTACTCAACTTTGAAGTCACATTTCTAATCAATTAGGGTTTGACAAAGTTCAAACCAGACTGCTGTGGGTTTTCCAATGGTGGAGGGTCTCACACTCCATAGTCTTTTTTCCATGCGTGGTTGGCCGATTGTTTCTTCATAAGGGGTTGCACTCCAAATCAATATGAGCAATACCAATCCATGATTATACAATTAAACTACCCTAATCAAGAGAAATCGGTATCATTACGACCCATAATTATACATTTCGTGCCCGATTTAGCAAAGTTAAATTTGACTTTTAGAGAAATTTGGAGGTGAGCAAACCGGTCATCAAGAAATTGGTGGGGTCGTACCAAGACAATCACCCCTCTATACGTTGCAATCTCTCTAAACCCTAATCGCAAGTGGTAGG